CATAAAACAGGAAAAACAACAAAAAAAATGACACTAAAAATAGAGTGCATGCAATTAAGGGACATTCTTCAAGAACAGCCAGCCACAAAATGGAATAAAAGCAACCAAGAAGATTTCTAACAGGTGGAGGCAAAAGAGAAGCAGAGAAGTATGATCTGCAATGAGAAATGAAGACTTCAAGCAGCTGCCTCGTGGAAGATAATACCTTGCAGCTGGGTGAGCTGCAACACAGCTGGATTATTTCTAGAGATGCTGTGTATATATTCACAGTGTGTATGTATATATACATACATGGTCACGGTATACATGGATGTCTGGATGGCCACTAACTACAAGTAAGTTACTTGAGAAAGTATAAATAAAACAGTAAGATGACTTCTTGTCCTTTGAGTGAAAACATTAGTTTGTCAAAGTATTGCACACAAAGCTAGGAGAATCTAGTCCAGCACAGCATGTCCTGAGCCAGAGGGAATGGCCAAGCATTAATAAACTGGGACTATGTCACCTTTGGTTCTCAAGGACTGCATTCCTCTATCCAAGAAATCACAGGGATTCAGGATACACCTGACTAATCCTATGCAAGAATTACTAATTACTCTAAACTGAAGTTCCACTTCCACTTAACCAGACACGAAAATTATGTTTCTGTGTATATATCAAACTTCACAGCATTTCTAGAATGGTTTTCTATTAACATGCAATGAAATCCAACAATGGACACTGAATGAATGCTTGCACTAATAACTTGCATATAAACAACATATATCTGTAATTTGTTTATACACATAACTCACAATTGTAACAGAAGAAGAAAAAACACACTAAACCACTGAAAGCAAACATAATATGTTCAGGCTTGGCCCAGAATAGTCATTTACTTGCAACATTACACAACAGCCAACAGCCCACATTCATCTCTGGCACCAAAACTTACTGCCAAATTATTTGTGCATATTTGGTAGCTATATACTGTCCCATGTAATAACAGAAAATTTAGAAGCAACACCTAAAAATCTGAAAAGACAACAGAAGTGTTACTTGTCAGAATTTTCATACTCATTTAACACACTCACAAACACCTCCAGAAGGGATGTCCTGAGGGTTGCTGCTTCTGGTGGATGGTTTCTGCTGATCCACTGCTGAATGGAAAATACTCCCCAAAACATCTTGTTGATGAGACTTCAGAACTGAATAAATGGTTTCCCTCACAAGCCCACACACCCCTGTCTGCACAAAGCTCAGCAAATGAGCCACAACCTCCCAAACCTGACACATGAGCACAACTGCCCTGTGCCCACAGCTGGGCTGGCCAGGATCCACAGCCAGAGGCTGCCTTGTCCTGGTCACTGCACTCCCTGCAACTCCTCTCTGAAGCCAATCCCTCTGACTCCTGGGTACTTAATGCTACTTAAACCTCTCAGCACCTGATCACGATTTTTAACAGATCAATTAGGCTTGTCTTCCATTAGTTACTTAAATGATATTAATCAGAGCTCATTAAGTGCCTTCAATGTCATCAACTGCCAGCAGACTGAAGAAGTTTCTCAGCACCTTAACATCTTAAGTTGAGCCACTATATTTTGATCTGTTAGGAGAAGCTATTTTGTCATTCAAAATCAGTGAAATCTGTTGTTACAAATCCAGCAAGAAAAACCACAAATCAATAAATGTAGCAGCTCTGCATTAGTCTTTAGTCTCCATCCTAACACCGGAATCAGTTCAGTCTAACTCAAAAATGCTTCTTACCTGACACAAAGTATTGAAGTAGCACTATTTGCTAGACACCCATGGAAGTTATAAATTTCGGTTTTTTCACAGCTTATATTTATCACAGCTGTAGCTGGCAGACATCTATAGCTAGAAGTTATTAGAAGGTATTTTAAAACAAAATAATACAATAAATGATTTTACAGCATCTACCTGTACAGTGAGTTCTCCTCTAAACACAACACAGGCTTCAGGTTGCAGCGCTGACATGAAAGTCATCTTAGAGAAAGAGTACCATGAAGTCCAGTGTGAAAACCATGCAGACCAAATATCCTCCTATTCATCCTGAGTTTGGATTCTGATAGATTCCAAGAGAAAACAGCTGAAATGGCCCACCCAGCCTGCCACAAGGCTGGGTGCTGACACCTGGTGCCTGTCAGCATCTTCCACCTCAGCTGATTTTGAATCACTCGTTATGGTGCCCATCAGGAGCTGGGTTTGGCAACAACGACTCTGGGGACAAATTTTCCTCCCACAGAAAATACAGCAGCAACATTAGTGCCATTCTATATACGTTGCTGCTGCTTTCAGCTACAGGAATTTTTATCCCAGCTGAAACTCAGCCTGACTGGAACGCTGCTCCAAAGAGCCATGTGGTGTATGGGCTCCATACGACTTCTGTCTCTCAGCAATAAACAGAAAAACACAGAGAAGTCATAAGAGGAAGCCAGACCTGGCAATTAGAAGGAACCAAACTCTGCCAGGCCTTCCAGGGATCCTCCTCAGTGCCAGAGCTCACCTGTGCTGGCTGACCCTGCCCCCGACCCCTGGCCAGGTGAAGGCACTGCCCTCACACCAGCCCTGGCTGACAGCAGGAGCTGGGGCCTCTCCACACACCCTGCACGGCCCTGCAGCTTCCAGCAACCATCTGCCAGCAACAAGCTCTTCAAACAGCTCTGAAGATCTGAGCATGGCTCTGTTCCTAGAAACTCGTCTGGCTACGTACGGGATTTTAAGCCAAAGACATCTTGACTCAACCAAGTGGAACTAAATCATCTGTACAGACACCACTATGATGATCCTTGAGCCACGTCCCCATTCCTTACTCCCATTATAGCAAATGTCCAGTGAGCTCTAACACAAGGCCCAGCTGCCCACCTGAAATCACACACACTGGGAACAGCCAGGATTCCCTCAGTCACTACAGTGTCAGTAAATAAGTGTCCTGCCCTGCAAACAAGTGCATTCACCTGAGAGGACAGCACTGAAACTAGAGCTGATTTACAACAAAAAGCAAACAAAAACATCGCTCGGAGGAAATGCTTGGTCAAGTCCACATTTTAGAAAACTTCCCATTAAAATTTTGCTCTAGAATAACAAAATGGAGGAAAAATAAAACAAAACCAAATAAAATCATTTCCATGAAAAGTTTGCATTCCTTTAACTGTGAGGGAAGGGGGCAAAGCAGCTGCCCTGGCTGGTCCCCCCTGCACAGAGCAGCACAGGCTGGGAAAGGCCCCTGTCCCTGCAGAGAGCAGAGCCCTGGTGCCCTCCCTGCACAGGGGACACTCAACTGCTGGAACAGAAATCCAGGACTGGGACTGCTGCACAAAACAGGAGGACATTTTCAAACAGAACTCAGCAAGAGTCCACCAGGATTTTTTGCAGTTGTGGATTTGAAAATACCGTATTTGACAATGTATTCTGGATGCTTAAGACTATCCAGGTATCCTCCTGAAAATGAAATATGAGACAGAGATTCTCCTGGAAAGGACTTTATTTCATCTTTAACCTTATACAGAATTTCTGACAAAAAAAATCTGCAGTTGTCTCCCCTCTCTCAACAAATGCAGTCATTCTTCACTATGAGAGACTCCTGTGGTCAGATCCCCTCCAAGTTACCCTTTCCAGCTATCCAAAAGGTTTTCTCCTTTCAACAGGTTCTTTTCATCCAGCCATCAAAAGGTTGTGGATTTTTCATCACAATTAAAAGAGAAAGGTAGATGAACTTAAGAGTTCAAATTAAGAGTTCAATTATCAGTTATTAGTTCAGTAGATTTAAACTTCCTTACAGGTTTATGGTTATGTCACTGTGATGTTTTCCCTCTGTCACAGCTGTACCCTTCCTCTCAAATCCCACCCTTAGTTATCATATACTATTGGTTCTCTAACACAAACTAAGGTTTTTTCATTAAATACTCTAAGTTCACAGAGTTTATAGTCCCTTTAGTATGACTTTTTTAATAAAGACAAAAGTTTGTGTTGGAGCAGCAGCAGATAAAACGGGTTAGAAATGCAGCTGCACCAATCTGAACAAGGGAGAAATAAAAATATGTGCATTTTTAAAAAATAACAATAATTACACAACTCACCATCAGGACAGGGTTGTAAATTACAGTTTAGCTGCCTTTATTGATCCAATATAAACATTAAGAGCAAGCAGTGCTATGCAGGGGAGGGAAAATGAAATGATCATGGCATGTTTTAGATCCCCTGATTCATCTTTCCTGGCACAAGACAGAGTGAGTCTAAGCTGCTGTGTAGGAAGCAAGGAGATGGAGGTGGGCTGAGATGGCTCAGCATTGGCTCTGTCCTGTCAACAGCAGCTTGAAAAGGGATGCACCAAAGCTAATACCTCATAAGTCTTTGGGGCCACCTTATAGAAGTCATGGTGTCTGGAGAACATGCCTTCAGCCATGTCCTTGCTGGGGTACCAAACTCTTTTTTGTGCCTAAATGTATGGTACAAAGTGCCAGAGTTGTACAGCTCTGAAACGTCCTTTTGGGCAACTTCACAAAGCCAAACATGACTTTAACTAAAAAAATAGTAAATATATACTGATGTTCCCAATTGGAGGTAAAGGGGTGTAGCTCTGCAAGAGTTCACTACACCAGCAACAGATAAAATGAGGACTGAGGCATAGCTACATTAGAGACAAACATTATCAGATCAGCCAGGAGTCAGATACCAATCTACCTTAATCTGCACTGACTATGTAAAAATAGGTAACATCAATTGTGGATCAAAGCTGTTCATCTAAAGGAACTACAGAGAGCATGCCAGCGTGCTGAGCACCCACAGAAATGTCCATTTCTGAGTAGAGGAAAAAGGAACTTCACATATTTGCAACATTTCTTGAGTCCCCTGAAAAATAAATGAACAATGACTTCTAATACTTCCTTCAGCACATCTTTGGAAGGGTCTTTATTGATGCAAAACAGGCATTTTGCCTCTGTGTAATGAGGCAGAAGCCACAGAATGCAGTCCAGCAAGGGGTTCTCTCAGTCCCCAGAAGCAATTCAGTGACAGCAGCACAACTGCCCCCAACTGCAGCCCTGTACAGATGTATTTCCCACTGCTTTCACTTCAAAACTTAGTATCAGGCTCTAGACTGCAGGATAGACCTGACCTCAGTTTATTACCTGCAAAAAGTCACCACTAACAATCACCCTTTTCTCCTTCCAAACCTATCAGGAAGAAGAGAAGAGGAATGAAAATATGAGAACCATGCAGAACCCCTCCATTGTGAAAGAAGCTTCCTCATTCCTTTTCCAAGTCTCTTACTTCGCATCCCTCTTAAAGTTTGGAAAGGGACTCAGTATGATGAGTTAAGGACTGAAGGAAGGTAAAACATACACAGAGCAGTAATGACATCCTCCAGCAAAGAGAAATCCCTGCAAACTGACTGTAAGACATTCCAAGCCATGGCATTACTCCTGCTTAATTGTGTGCATTGTATTACACGTAGCTACTTACACAGAAGACAGTAAAAGCTGTATTTAAAAAATACAGGTAATAACCTTCCTTACACTTTGCCTTCTGAAATGTAGCAAGAATAAGTAGATGGGCCTAGATCCTGTATTTTCAAATTTTCAAGGCAGACTGTGCCTCCACTGGGAGGAGACACATGGACCAGAAGGGCCTCAGAACCACGAAGACAGCTCAGCCAGTGGATGTGTTTGTCTGTGCATAAATCCTTTTTGGTCTTTGGAGTTTTGTGAAAAACAACTTTTAAAAATGTAACTTAAAACAGAAAGACAAAGTAAATTCCTCAGAATCCAGAAGCATATTTGAATAATTAATAATTTGCCTCATCTGAGGCAGTGGGCTCAGCTCTTGTGTACAAAGAGACAAACAAAATAAATAAGTATTACACAAACCATATTCACTTACTGAGACTTTATCATCCAAGGATTAGGACTCTAGAGGGGTGGCAGAGCACTACTAGAGCTGCTGCTGCTTTGTGTTCCAAGACAGTCAGTCCAACATGCAGCTGGGGAAGTCCAGAGCACAGGTATCCTTCACACAGTCACCATCCCAGCTTCAACCATATCATTAGAAAATACAAATTCGACAGCCAGAGAGTCCTAATATGAATGGGTAAGCACCACAAGTCAGGTGCTGAACTGGTATAAAGAAAACCCCTCCATTTACTGAAATGGAGCCATACTGAGCCTTTGTCATCACAAGTCAATAGAGAAAAGAAGAAGATAGTTAACAATGTAGTAGCTGAAACAGTGCTGAACCACTATACTGAGCTGATGGTATACTAGCCAAAGTAGGAGTTACATGCCTTCATTCCTGTAAAATATAAGAAATACTGATGTGAGATTATCTAATTGTCTGCCCATGAATAAATGTAGCAGACAAATAGAGGAAAATGAGCAAGACTCAAATCCTCGTGGCTTCCATTGAGTAAAAATCACATTTGGCTTTCCAAAACACAATCTGTATAATAATGCAAAACCAAGTTGTCTTCCCTTACCTTCTGCAAAAGGTTCCCATTCATAAAATCGACCCATAAATGGCTTGTTATTGTATGATGCACATTGCACCTCTCTAATATTTCTGCTGCTTTCAGGACACATCTGTTTAGATAAAAAAAAGTCACATTATAATCAACAGCAAAGTTATTATTGCCTTCTTATTAAATAACTTTAGAAGGTTAATGAAGGCATTGCAAAATTCTAAGCCAGGTGAATGATAGAAACATCAGGAGACTCCTTGTCTTTAAAACAGTGTGCTTTTAAGTAACAGTATCAAAAGTGCCTGTAGAAGAAAATGAATTTGTGGAGTAAATGGAGCAACAGTTCTATAAAAAAAAATGTAAGGCTTTAATTGAGATGTCATTTTCCTCGGCAACGAGACAACACTTCAAGATAAAGTCAATAAATTAGATCAGAATTATTTCCTTTCCATAACAACCTCATATTTTTCATCATTCATTTTCTGGGCTCAGATTCAACAGAGTTGAAACACTTAACATACGAGCTTCCTTAACTTACTAAAAGCTGGCCACACCAGCTTCTCATTCTCATCCTGTGCTTCAACACCATATTACCACTTTTCCTCTTGTATTTCCACATGCTGGTATTACAGTCATTGCATGACTTTGCATTTTAACTCGTGCCTTCAAGTCCTAACTTCAGAGTTCTTGCACCTGAAGAGTAGGAAGAGCTTCCTGTATTCAAGCACACGTGTGTGCACACACAGGTATTGAGGTAGGGCAAGTTCTCCAGATGGAAGGAACATCCTTTATGAGGTCACCTGCAATGCAAGCCTTTGGCACAGCAGCCTTGTTTACATTTGAAGCAGATTACAAAAGTAAATACAAGTTAAATAGTTAAAATACTTAATTACTTTGTTCTGCCTGTGTCCTCACAGTACTGCAGTTACAGCAGAAGCCTTCTCCGTGTGTGGGCACACACAAAGGGGAGAAAGACTTCTAGAAAAGGCAGGGGGTGAATTAGAACAGTTTCTATGTTTGGAGAAATAGGCAAGCTTTGGGCACAGATGCATTTTTTGGGTATCCTTTAGATAATCACTATGACTACTAAAAACACTATTGAAGAACAGTAGAAATCCCATGAAGAACTGGGCTAGAACAGCAGAATTTTTTTCTATACGACAGAGATTTCAAGGGAAAGCTGGAGCTGATACTCTATGAAAGCAGCATGGCTAAATAACTGTGGTTTTGCAGGGAACAGCAAGAGAATCTGTAAGAACAGCTCTTGATGCAACTGCAAGTCAGTTCTTCTTTATTTGTACAGTGGGAAAGATGGGTTGTCTTTGCAGGGAAAGCCAGCAGAGCAGAGGTCCCGGAGGAGTTCTTGCTTTGTATCCACCATCTCTGTAAGAAGATGCTTGTAAGTGGATCAAAGAGACGTCAGAGTCAAAGGTTTTCAAGTGGGCTATAAACTGTACCAAAGACATGCCTTGGGGGAAGGTTCAGGGACTACTTTATCTTCTATTAGAATCATGGTAACAAATCTTCTAGAATAAACACTGTTTCTGGCCAAGCAGCCATCTGTGCTTTGTTCGCCCACCCTTCTGAGATCTCCGAGTACATGCAAATAGTGTTTTCCTCAACAAACCCTCTAATAAAAAAAAAAAAAAAACAAAAAAAACAAAACCAACCAAACAAAAAGCCTTCCTTGAAAATAGGACCATGAGCCACCACATTGGAAGGGCGTGACCAAAAGTCTTTCTAGTGCCAAAAGCAGAAAGCAAAGCTTTATTCCCACAACTGAAATCCAGATCCTTCCATGTGTGGCACAGCATTGCAGCACAATAATTCAGCCACAACCACCAACCAAGGCGAGGAAACTCACATTTTTCATGGAAACCCACTATTGCACATATCCTAAAGGGGAAGGGACAGAACCTGAGCTGGCATAAATTAAGGTCACTACACTAAATCACAGCAGAACAAACATCAGCCTGCACCAGCCAAGAACCCAGCCTGAAGGGTTTCTATTTGGAACGCTTTTCCCTTTTTTTTGGCACATGTTTGCTACCAGCCTATTGTGAAGTTTAGTTGTTTCTTGTTTCTCCTTTTCTGACCCTTGAGCTCATGCCCTTGTGTACCAGTATTTCTGGCTCATCAACCATTTCCTGTACGCTCTGCTCATACCAACTGCAGGCAATGTATGAATAAAAATATCAAAATATTCATGGCTGTTGCCAACAAATAGTGACACCCATCCCTTCTAAGATCATTTTCATATAGCTACAATTTCTGCTTTTAAACTTACTGACAGTTGCCCAAAGGACAGAGGCCCCATTGCTTTAAAGGAGAACAAAGGACTGACAAATACACTCAACATTGTGTGGATGAAGCCAAAATCAGAAGAAAAGGCTAACTCAGTAACACCCCTGCTACTTTAGGAGTCCCAACTCAGTTGCCCTTCTCTATTTCATTCATCAAGGTTTAATTACAATATGAAATTTTGAGTCAAAATTTGAGAGTGTGACCTGGTCTGCAAAACCGCTTTGCTTTATTCTTTATACAGATTATAACGATTTTTATTTTCAGATGTCTTCTAAAGTATTTTGTGAAAGAGTTAACTACGAAGTACAAGTAGCCAAAATTACTACAATTTATGAATCACCAAGGTTTTAAGTGTTATATTATACTCTACATGCAGTTAACATCTATGCACCATTTACTAACCCCACCTAAATTGTTAATGCATAGCTGAATGAAATGACAGCTTTATGCTGCCTGCTGCTCAGCCCCCCTGAAAATGAAACCCTTGAGCCTTTCTCAGAAGACCTAAGAGTGCCAGGCATTTTCTCTAGGCTCTCTGCCTTTTTAGCACACCTTTAAGGCAGAAAATCACTAAAAGGAAAAAGCATGACCCTGTACAATCAAAAGTGAAGCTGCACTGGGGGAGGGGGGGTGTCCACAGATGCCCCATTTTTATTTATTCCCTGAGAGCACGACCCGTTTTTACACTTCTATTTAGTTACTAATTCTGTCATCTGTAGCTTGGCTATAAAACTCCTAAAATACAGCAGCGAGCACCTGTGGGGAGAAGATGGCAACCCCAAAGAAAGCTCATGTTTACAGTGTCTAGAGTTCATCCTTTGCTTCCCAGCTCACACACAGGGCTGGGAGAACTGGAAGGTGACCGAGGACAAAGCCGGGTTTACCGACAGCCCGAGGACAAAGCCGGGCTTACCCACAGCCTGAGGACAAACCCGGGCTTACCCACAGCCCGAGGACAAAGCTGAGCTTACCCACACCCTGAGGACAAAGCCGGGCTTACCCACAGCCCCAGGGGCTGCAGTGGGATCCAGTCCCACCTGGGCTGGGCTCAGCTGGGCTCTGCCTGGCACTGAGCCCCTACCCAGCCCAGGGCAATTGGCTGTAAAAAGCAGGCACGTTGGCATGTTTGCAGATGAAGAATGTTCCTGTGGCTAAGCCAGAGTGCTGGGATTTAAACAACCCAGATCTCTTTCCAAAATTTCCCAGAGACTTTTGGAATTAAGTTCGCTAAAATATTTAACTTGCTGTGTGACTCCCACTCGGTTCCCTCTCAGTGACATGAGGGCATTCGAGTTGTGCTGCCTGGTAGGGACTTGAAAACAACTTTTTGATAAACAAAGTCAAATTACTTCAGTGTTTTGTTAATGACAGATCTGGAATCATCTAACAATCATGACAGATGGAGTCATCAAAAGTTTTTCGTAGGTGTTGGGACACAGAGAACAGGATGACCTCTTTGAATGTTTGTAAAAAAAGAAATAAAATCTCCTTTTTAATCCATGTCTGTGGAGGCCAGAGCAGCAAAAAATATACTTTGCATCTACTAAGATAAATCTCAGATTCCTTTGTGTAGAGGCAGATATAAGGTGTCTAGAAATATATACTCTCTGGTGGGAGAGGGTTTTTTTAATTATTGTTCTTTCAGTTGTGCTCTGTAAAATTAGATACAGCATCTAGAATCCATAATTTTAAGTGACATTTCTCCTACTTAAAATGTGCTGCTTGGACAAACCAATGGTGTAAATTTAACATGTAGGACTGCATTCAGCAAAGTACCTTGAAAGTGCTGGACATCTTCACACAAGGTAAAGGTGCTTTCAGAGCTTCCCCTGCTGCATTTTCAATGACCACGACACCTCAGCCAACTTTTCCTCCTGAACTTTCAGAATGTGAAATCGGCAGCAGCAGCACAGCACTGCAGTGATGAGCCAGGCAGTGCTTAACACAAAGCATTTTAGAAGTATCCCCTCGTGTTTTGGGACCTCAGGCCAAATTTCTTGAAATGCACTGAGCCTGCTGTTGATAATGACTTCGTACTTCAGGAACAGCAGCTTTATTTATGCCTCAGTTTCTTCTGAAATATGCAGGTATGAAAGTATTCTGAGGGACAGCAACACACAGTACTTGTCTTTATCATGTACCATTAGAGCTTTCTTAAAAAGAGCTGCTGGTACAGCTAAGACTGTAAAACAAAGAAACCACCCTACTTGCCTTTTAGCTTTTGGGAAACATTCAAAAAGTATAGGTTTCTAACAAGTCTTTGACACTTTGGTTAATTAAAGAAGTGTTGGCAGAACACCAGAAAATTATCAGTCTGCCAGCAGATGTGGGCTCACATCTGCCATCAGCAAACCTGTGTCAGCGCTGGGCTGAGATAAAGCACTGCTGGAAATGTATAAACAGGCCTTTTTGGTCCTGAAACCACCTCTACATGCAATTAAAACATTGACTAAGATTTTTGGCAACGTTTCGTTCTTATGACCTACAGTAACTGGCAAACTCTTTTTCCAAGGGCCCACGTTCCTTCTTGATTCTCCAGGCTCAGGCATAATTCATAATTAATATTCTCTATGTGTGCAATGCTACAGGTTAAATTAAGTCCAAGTAATTTAGTTGTACTCCAGCTTTCATTTCTGTAGTGCTTCTGTGTGATCATATTAATCCTTCGATGTCCCAAAGGATAAACACACCTCCAAAGAAAAATAATTAAAATACTTGTTTCTGAAATAGTAATCTGCAGATTCCTCTTCCATTTTCAGAGATTACTCTTAGCAGTAGCATGTCCTTGCAATATGCATATTCTACAAATTCCAGGTC